GATAACATCGCCACGTCTAAGTAAAAGAGATAATAACAAATTTATATACACGAGCATTAACATTGCGGCGACGACTCTTGGAAGAGAAGGAAACAAACAAAGTTTTATTTTTATAATAAGCCGCAGTATCTGTTGCCCAAATATTCTGTGTCCTTTTGAGAGTTAAGTCCATGCTTTTGAAATTTAATGTAAATCATTTCTGATATCAGGCGTTTCAAGTAATAACGTTCCTCATGCAAAACTTTGGCTTGATCCCAATTGAAATCATGGTTTTCCCTCAAACGGTGTTCTTGTGTGGCCGTTAACTCAACTGTAGAACTCCTTGGTATTCTCCTATGCTCAGCAATGCGCGTAGAGAGTCTTCTACTAGTCTGACCAACATACGACGCCTCACAACTACTGGATTGCAATTTATACACAACGTTATTATGGAAACCAGGAGGCAACCTGTTTTTATGCACATAAATCATTCCTGATAATTTATTATTGCAAGAATAAGCAATATTTGTCAAATTATTTTTAAAAAGCTTTGCCAGTCTGTTCGAAACCACACCAAAAAACGGTATGGTAAAATATTTTTTATCATCATAACTAGATGCTGTCAAATTTGGTTGACAACATCTGGTTATGATGATAAAAAATATTTTACCATCCAAGAGTCGTCGCCGCAATGTTAATGCTCGTGTATATAAATCTGTTATTATCTCTTTTACTTAGACGTGGCGATGTTATCATTGACAGGATTGTTTCACTTTTAGCTGAGCTCAACAAAGGTAATTTATATTGACCATTTTAATTATTTATTATATTTTATTCTTACCTATTTTTATTTTATTTTATGGTTTTTTTATAGTTATTGCTACTTCCTAGTATTCATTTGAACTTCTTAATATTAGTCGGGTAACGGTCTTATCAGCTATAATACTGCGAATAACATTCATGTCATTTTATTAAGGTCTTTAATTAATTCTTTTACTTGTAATGCGTTTGTTTTGTAAACCTTGAGTTTTTTTATATCACTGAAGAGGGTTCATTTGATTGAGCCTAAACGTTTGATTATTTATATTAAGTATTCATATTTAATAAATATTGTTCTATTTCCTAACACAAAGGTTTTACCCATATGGTACATAGCACTATTAATCCTGTGCTTGAACTCGAATTAGCCCTTTTTCCCTTTATTATTAATTTATATAACTGATTTACGGGTGCAGATGGCTATAGCACATTGTCCTCTGGCTATGGCTTTGTATATTAAATATTGCCAGAGCCACAATAGAGAGACACTGCGTGACATTTACAATCAGTACGATGACTTTCATTCACAAGCAGTATGGTTCATCACCGAGAGTTATCAACGAAAGGTAACAAAAATGTATTTGCTTTTATATAATTTTTTATTATTATCATATTATAGTATATAAGGCATTAAAAGATGAACGAGAATACTCTGAAAATTTTTAGAACACAATGTCGAGGGACGCATTGCTGCAATCCGCACAAGAAAACTTTAAATCCGCTCATAGCGATACGAACGCTGCACTGACGGAAGAACAGATAAAATTATTAAAATATCAGAGGTCTTTAGGAAAGACGTTGCACGAGTCAGTTGTTGGTAAACCTCTACATGATACCGTAAAGTTATTATTACTACGTAATGAGTTGAAACTAGCGGACAAATTACGATCGGAATATAAGATACCGGATAGAAGGTATATTAATTTTTATCATTTCTAGTGAAAACCGCCCCCCTCGTATGTTTTATATCATTTCATATTATTTTTAAATTTTTATTTTATCCCAATAGATATTGGTGGTTAAGAATACAATGTCTAGCAGAAGAAAGTATGTGGAGTGATTTGGAGAAATTCTCCAAAAGCAAAAAGTCTCCCATTGGTTATGAGGTAAGGACAAACAGCGCGTTCGCATTAATTTCATGTAAATATATATTTATTGAATATTATTGAATATAATTAGAAGATTTGGTAAACTTTACAGCCATTTATAGACGAATGCCTGAAGTACAACGAAAAGTTGGAGGCAAGGAAATATTTAAGCAGAGTTAAAGATGATCTTAAAGTAAAATACCTAGTAAAGTTGAAGTAAGTACTTCAAATCACACATACAGATACTTTTTAAAAGAACATACAAATAAGATGCATACAGGTATATAAACGTATTATTGTTCCATAGCATGTTGAATGAAGCGGCTCAAACAGCATTTGAGCAAAAAGACACTGCAGCTCTTGCATTTGTACTGGCGCAATGTGGATCCTCCGATAGACAATTGATAGACAAGGTCAACATGTTTCTAGCTAGTCTCAAGAATTAAGATATTTTTATGTTAATGTTAACACGTTAAATATGACACAAGATAAGTGATTTTTATATAAGATATTAACAAGATAAATATTCAATATAATCCATTTACAATAAAAGACAATTTAAGTCAGTAAACACTTGTGTGAGAGAGCATAATTCACATAAAATCAATAAAACAGTAAATACTTCTTCGATAAATATATCTGCTATATCTTTATAATCAATAGCAAATTGATCTAAATATCTGCATAGTTGTAATCTGTACAAAAATGTAAATGCAAAATATCGGTTGTATAAAATAGTGATAACTATAACTTCTGTATATTAGCAGTATTCTACACATATAGTACTATATACTAAACCTGAGTATCCCATTAGTATTCCATAGAAAGTTGTAACATTTTTTTATTCTTGAAATGCATCTTAGAAAATCTAATATTTTAGTATCTAATAAGTAGTATTTAGTATTCTACCTAATTTAATAGATTCCAACAACAGGATCAACTAACTTCATTGGATCGTATAAATTTTGTATGTTTCTCAACGAGATCTTTCACTATTAATTGTTCGATCTCTTCGCCGTCGTTCAGCTGCTCGTTCGTAAGAGATAAAACGTAGTTGGTCTTCTCGCTCACGATTACCACCTGCTGCTTCCTAGTTTGCAACATGTTAGCTATTACAAGCTGAAACAGATTTTTATTTTGAAAACCAAACATGTTCTGAGAAATTCACAGATATTTATTAATATTTATATTTTAAAGAGGTTTTTGGTTTTTAGGTGTCAAAAAATCTAATTTTCTTGCCGTTTTTTATTTCTTATAGTATCTTATAGTATCTTAAGTATCTTATAGTATCTTAAGAATATGTCTGTAAAATAATTAAAAAAAAAAAAGAAAATTAAGAAAGATATGGTTGCTTAAATAAGCATACAAGATTGCCTGAGTGTCTGAAATAGCGCATGCTATGCGACTGTCTAAAATATGCTTTAAAAAATAGAAATTCGTTGGTTGTTAACATTTCAAGTTAATTCAAATATTGACGCTGTGAGGAATAAAGAAAAACAACAAAGGCCTTGCTGAAAAAGATGTAGGAAAGATGACTGCAAAAGTATAATTGGAGACTTAGCAAGTTATTTTCCATTTAATACAATTTTTTTGTACTATAGTTATTTATAAATACACATTCATATACATATGAATATATATACGAATATGTCTTATTGCAAAAAAATCCCAAAGACTGCCTTAAAATGAGCTTAAAAAAAACTAGAAAATCCCCTTAACAATAATTACTTACATTATGATGATATTTATTCAGAGCAGTTCTTGCTTTCGAAATCAGCACGGTTTCGTCAGTTTCCAATTTAAATGACACCACGAACGCTTGCGGCACCCACAAACTGACTAATGGAGCTAAGATCTTTGGTACCAATTTAAGCTGGATAGTTGGAGGCCCGCTTGAGGGTATCTTATGGATCGACTAAACGAACAAAGATTGCTTTGAAATAATAGAAGACATTGCACTGTACACAGTCAGAAAGTACACTTACCATCTCGTTGGAAGGAATGTAAAAGTCCGAGACTGCGGCCGCCAAATATAGAATAGCTCTGTTTCCTAGAGGTGCTAGTGCTTGACAAGCAGACCGGAGGAGCCAAAGATATTCGGAAAGAGTTGTAAAGCTAAGCTGCAGCAATTTTTCCTGGTCCAATGCTTCTCTGTATTTTTGTAACACCATCGCTACCTTTTGTGTGTGTTCTGGTAATACTGTTGAAAAAATAAATGTACTGTATATTAATCAGACCATATGAATATCATATATAATGATATTGATATCATAATTATATCACACACATATAAATTATATATAATTGTACATAATGTGACATGACTTGCCAGTGATAACAGAGTTCTCGCTATCCTCTGATACTTGCAGCATATCTAAGAATTTCTGACCTACAAAGTGCCTAGAGAATGGTTCCAAAGACTTTACTCTGAAATCACAATTAGAAACTTTGGCGTTGTACTATTTTGCTAAATTTATCAACTTATGCTATATAATATGGAAATGATACATACCTATACATAAAAATAACTGCATATCCATGCTCCAAGAAATACTCCGCAGAAAGAGATCCTCTTGTACCTGCACTAAAGTTATCCACAAATCTAACTGTATTGTGTTCCAAAGGTATCGTTGTACCTCCACTCTGTAATATATCCAATTGGAATGTTAGAGATTTATAAACAGGAAATCTATATATATCTGGTTAAATTTTATCTTTATATTATGTAGAATCAAATATGTATTTTGAGTTCTAATTAACTTGTAAAGTTAGGTTTATATTATGTCTATATTTCACTTTTACTTACCGTCACTAGTACTACTTTGTTACCCTTCTCCAAGTGCTTCTTGGTGAATTCCTTCAATGCGCTCTCATTTTGTGCTAAGTCTTGAGGAGGTGGATGCTTGGCATAAAAATCTTCCCATGCTGAGACCATAGTAAATACTTATACACGTGCACGTGTCCAAAACTGACTTAAAGGAATTGCTGTAAAAAAAGAGAATTTTAGAAATTTAACAGCCACTCATTAAATACATGCATGTATATACATATATACATATTATACCTGATATATCAGGCTGCCGTGATATGATAAAATGTTTAGTCTGGCTTTCGAATTGATGACGCGTAAATTCCTTAAATTCGTTCCTAAGTCGTGTCATTGGAAGAATATTCCTCCCACCAACCAATGAGGAAGGAGAAGGATTTGTTTCCGACAAGGACATTCTAATTTTTAATAGAGGGAGATAAGAAGAGAGGGAGATCTGAATATATTTTGAAATATGCATTTAACATTGAAAACAAATCCACGAAAGACGCGACATCAATCCGAAAGCCAGATCGAATATACATTACATAATAGGCCGTTGTTTTCAAAACATTTTTAAACTGTACACACTAGTGCAATAAGTTAGAGTGAAAGTATACTGGTTTTGCAGTTCTTCGCAAACGGACAGATCTAATGAAAACTTAACCTCGCTGTCAACTGTACAGAATATATTGCTAATTATATATATAGTTAACGATAATTTATTTAACGATATTTATGAATCTACGATAATATTTTATCGTGTGATGATGCAGAAATTACGAGTCATACAAGCAGATCTGTCCAATTAATAAATTGAATAAAATAAAATGAATGAGGATTGAAAACTAACCTTGGAATCGTGATTTTCTAAATCGTAATTTCTAAAAAAGTTAGACTCACCGTTCAATATCGGTTAATTAATGCATTTCTTCATTTAGAGTTACGTAAGAATCTCAAAATAAACTACATGCTTATATAACACAAAAGTGCCCTATGTAGTCAGTGTCTCACACTCCTTTCCTTACAAGAACCATATTGAATGTCACAAGAATGTGAGCAAGTGATTTGTGACATATCAAAATCAGCTATTATGAGATTTTTTAAAAAGGAACAAATAACAATAATGATATATTATTTGTCTTTATTTCTTGAACATATTGTTACTTTATATATAGTAGAAAGTGTCATATATACACATTTGTGACAATTTCCACAAAATTTATAACAGTAATTTAAAAAAAAATAATAGATGAAGATAATTTTTTGCATCGTTATTGACATATATAGTAACTTAAAAAAATATTCCAACAGAAGACCCACAGAAAGATTACAAATATTATTCTAGATTATATTAATACTGATTACATAATATATATATAGATAATTCTTTTATTTAATATTAATCTTTCACTCAAAATTACATCATATATATTTAAAAGTAAATACAATATCTTTCTTTTCAAACAGTTTAAGACTACTGTGTTGTCAGTTTGTTAGTTATATGAATAATTTCAAGTGAGTGGCTTATAATTACTATTCAAAAGAATTATAACAATTCATTCCTATAACGATACTAGTTCACATAGTGCAATTCAATACTCAGGTGCCGGGCTCTTCTCTTTGCTGTAATCCCTGACTGGCGATAAAAACTGCAAACAGAAACAAAACAACAGCATAAATATCTCGTACGACCTTCTGTGAAACAATTACTTTGAGACAGATGAACAAAGCGAGATAGGATATTGTCACTTGTGAGTAATCGCGAATCGCTCTTCTCACTTTGTATTGTTTGGTCGAGTAATCGTTCCAAGGCTCGGCTTCCTTCTTATTGAACCAAGAGACATCAGGACTGCGGGTAGCTAGACGCAACGTATAAAACGCCGCAAGAGCTCCTCCACATGCTATACAAACGTATAACGGGATCAGCTGAAACAGAAAGCAGATAACATTGAGGACCAACAGTTCGTGTCGATCACGTAAACTTTGAGTGCTCACAGCTGGGTGCTTTTTCATGCTACTCAACGACAATCCTTGCATCTTGATCATTTTGACTATCGTCTGGAGATTGTAGCGGTTAGAGGAAAAGAATGATATTCGTGTCTCGAGTAAAGCAGACGCACCAATACGTCCAATCTCGAAGATTAGGGCTGATATCTACCTGCGCAACAAAACATCGACTAGTTGAAGCACCGCGACACGAATGAGACGGAGGATTCACACTGCGTCCGATATCCAACGTACGACGTTTGATATCCAATAGGAGAAAAGTTTTCTAATAGAAAATTCAATTCTTTATTGGAAAGCTGTTCTCTTATTGGATATCGACGTCATACATCGGACATCGGACGCGGTGTGAATCCTGTATAAGGCTGAGTTTTCACTGAGCGCGTCACGCGTCGCGTCGTCTGCCTGCGTCACGAGTTAACCAATCAAATCCTCTAATTGGGATGACGTGCGCAGACGTACGACGCACTTGTTCCAATGGAACGATTTGATTGGTTAAGACTAATAGTGTTTTTCATTGGCAGAATTGGTGCGCACTGAGTGCGCACTAAGCTTGTTCACAGTATGTTATTATATTGAAAGATTGTCTTAAATAAATTCTCAAATATTTTTAACCAGTAATATAATATGTATAACATACGAATATTTTTAATCAGTAATATAATATGTATAACGTACGAATCATTTTATAACCTAAAATATTTTTAAATATGTATTAAGACACGATCTTAAATATGAAAATGTATTGTAAACAAGCCTTAGTGCGCACCAGTTTTGCCAATGAAAAATGCTATAAGTTCCCACTTAGCACGTTATGTGTTGCGTCGTCCGAGTTAAGCCAATCAAATCGTCCCATTTTATTTGGCGTAAAATTACGCAATAAAATGTGACTATTTGATTCGGCTCAACTCGGACGACGCGACGCGTGACGCGCTAAGTGAGAACGCATCCTAATGACTCCTGCACACAGGACGCGGTAATGCTTGCCGCGCGGCGGAAGTCTGCGCGACAGCCAATCAATATATTATTTTTCCGTAAGAGCTAGAAGGTTATTACGGAAAGCAACATATTGATGGGTTGTCACGCGAACTTCCGTCGCGCAGCAAGCATTACCGCGTCCTGTGTGCAGGAGCCATAAGTCCCAATCTACAATAAGAATGCATTCGGAGAGCTCGCTATTAGCACTAGTCAGCGCTACCGTGTCATTCTGTCCTTGTTGTATATCTAAAGAACGATAAAGATAGAAGAATGCGATAGTGTTGGTAACGTGCTCCCCGAACGCACCCTACGTGTAGCCCATACAGCACAAATCTTCAAAGAACGTTCTAAGGATGTTCTAAGGACATTCATACATTCTAAGAACGTCCCAGAACATTCTCTGAAGATTTTGTGCTGTCTGGGAGTAAGTTCATGGACGTAGTGGCCTGGTTTACATCGTGCATTTGATACGCGTACTAAATAGTAATTTTCTATTAGATAATCTTAATATAGACAATGTATATCAACAGCGACGCATTCTATCAATACAATACGTTTTGTTGATGAATATTATACCAGCTTAATATACGATTGTTTATATATATCGTCGATATTAAGATTATCTAATAGAAAGTTACTATTTAGTACGTGTATCAAGTGCACGATGTAAACCAAGCCAATGGGTGCTTTCCAGTTGCGTACACTGTATTACACAATACTAGTTTATTGGTTGTATATTATCTTATAAGATATTTTAGATAATATGTGACCAATAAACTGGTGTATACGTGTATATCAAGATGTGTTAAGCAATTGGAAAGCAGCCAATAGGTGTAGTAAACTTTAAGCCTTAAGGGACGTCTACATTGGAAGTAAATAGCAAGAAGTAGGAAATAAGAGTAAGAAATTGACCAACCACAGTCGAATGTAAGAAGAATAATTAACTATGATTAATCAATTTCTTATTCTTACTTCCTACTTCTTACTGTTTACTTCCAATGTAGACGTCCCTTTAAGAAATTGATCAATCACAGTCGATTATTCTTCTCAAATTTGACTGTCAATTTTTTTAAGGCTTAAAGCTTACTACACCTATTGTGGATCGGGACTTAAGCCCGTATCAGACTACGGATTAAGGCCGGTATTCATAGTCGAATCTTCTTTCAAAATCGTCTTAAGTAATGTCTTAATATGCGAATACGGCTCTGTGATTGATTCATGACATCTTAAGACAGTATTTAGGTTGATATTTCACGTGTTGTACGACAAGTTTTTTGGATACGTTCATTGGTTGACGAACAGAGAATCTAGAAATATTCTATTCGCGTAATAAACGTATCCGAAAAGCTTGTTGTACGACACGTGAAATAGCACCCATAAGATGATCTTAAATATAAGATCGGACTATGAATACCGGCCTAAGATTAATAACATGTTCGACTGGCTCTGGGATAACCCACTCTGGGTTATTCAGCCTACGTTTATTGGTCAAACAAGTACTTATAAGCTTTATGATTGGCTAGTAGAGACTTATGACGTCATTAATCGCTCTCGGAGCGATTAACCCAGGGCCAGTCGAATACGCTATAAGATTGAATTGAAAATTGGCCAATCAGAGCAAAGTTAACCAAACTTGAGCTTAGTGAGTTTTGTTCTGATTGGCTAAATTTCAATTCAATCTCAATCCTAATCTATAGTCTGATACGGGCTTTAAAAGCCAAATCACACTAGCGATTGGCAATTGATGATTGACGATTGAAGATTGGAACTTGACCAAAGCAAGCCAAGGCTGAAGCTTGTTGATTCGTTAAAATCTAATCTTTAATTGTCAATCTTCAATCGCCAATCGCTAGTGTGATTTGGCCTTTAGGCGCATTTAGCGAAAAAAGCGCTTAGTGAGCAATCAGTAATTATTGGTTTTTATTGTTAGATCTTTAAATCTAGATCAATTATATTGGCCGCGTTGGGTGTATATCAGTTGGACACGGGGCAATTGGACACAGTCCAATCACAAGTCGCTGTTCCAAGGGACCCTACAAATGTCTCTAATCACACGGTGCTGTGATTGGCTGTGTCCAAATGCACCGTGTCCAAGTGCACCGCTCCCGGCCGCGTTCAGTAGAACAAGTGATCAGTAAGCGCTCAGTGAGCTCTTGCATCTGATTGGAGTATAGTTGGAGATCTAAAAGAATATGCCAAATCATATACAAGAGCTCCCTGAGCGCTTACTGATCACTTGTTCTACTGAACGCGGCCATTGACGAATTGCTCAACTGTTGTCCAACTGTTGAGTTCGCTGAACGCACCCAATATTTGTAGTGTATAATAGAGGGCTCTCTCTTCTGTTCGAACCAATAAGAACAAGAGGAGGAAAAAATCAACGAACTTTCTTCTGCGATCGACATCATTGTGCGACGTAGCCCGTGGCGGTATTTCACTTGTAAAAGTGAATTTTTCCATAATTTTGGGACGCGGGTATAAATATAAATGTTGATCTCAGAGCTGCGCGCGAGGACGCGCAGGAATTGAGTAACATCGGCATGCCGTTGGCGGTGCTGGTCATGTAACGATCCCCGGACACGTCGTCGTTTCACGAGCGAAGAAACGTGTGCGAACAGCCCGACGCGATAAGCTCGAGATCCTCCGGTTGAATGTCAGAATATTGTCCTCACCGTGGTTCGAAAACTGCAGAATACTAAATATAATTAACTTCGTTAAGTCGACAAATTTGATTGAATGCCATATTTCTAAAACGCGACGATCTGTGGCTTTTCGGTATTTTGCTCGCCAATTATTCCAAGAAAAATCGGATCGGCTGCTCCTGGATGTAAGTTTAAGAATATTTATGAGGAGGATCCTGAAGATTTACTTTTTTTCTAACAATATATGGGTACAGAAAGTATTTGAGCAGCAATAAAGGCGAGAGAAAGAGACACAATTGTGTATTGTGCCTTAAATATATCTAAACAGTCTAAAACATATCTATTAGAATAAGAAAGGAAAATGTCAAAATATCCACAAATGATAGAATCAAGATATCCTATTTTGACAAGATTGTAAGTGAACTGTAGTTAAATATATATTACTGACAATCCTATGTGGTGTCATAGTCTGTGAGCAAAAATGGGCTTCTCCACAAGCCTACAAGGTCAGGCATCACACGAGGCATTGCTGGGTCGCCAGGATGCTGAGATCAAGCTGCTGGAGACTATGAGAAGATGCCTCACGACAAAAGTTAAATCTGACCGAGAGTATGCCTCTAGCATTTCTTCTCTTACTACTCAGGGAAAGAAGATTGAGCGCAATGAGGATCTTGTTGGAAGTCTTATAGCACAGGTAGTGTGTCTGTGTATTTATTATTATTGAGTGACTAGTGTACGTGAAAATATATCAATATATATTAAATATATTAAAAAATTTAAATTATATATATGATATAAAATTAATAAAATATATTTTAAAAATTAGTACATAATAAAAATATATATGATATATATATGTGATTATATATCACAGGGTTGGAGAGACATAATGGACTCTATTGATCAGACTGCAAAGTTGATCAAACTACAAGCTGATTCTATTGAAAATATTGTAGTAGATCAATTGAGTACATTGTATTCAGAAAGGAGAAGAGCCAGAAAGGTGTATCAGGAAGAACAGACGTGGCTGAATAACCAGCTTCAACAAGTAAGTAAAATAAAATATATGTTGTAATAGTTAAATACAAATGACATTAGATTAACTAGAAGTTTAGATAAATTTTAACAATTATATGTTACTTATATTTATTGTTAATTGAGTTTAATGACTTCTTGGTTTGTGTATTATTTTTAAGCTAACAGATGATGTAGCTAGGAAAAAAATGGAGTATCAGAAAAACTTAGAAATGTATAAATTGATGAGGTCACGATTTGAGGAACATTATGTAAAATGTAAGTATCTTGTTTTGATCTTGTTACAAATTATTAGAATCATTATAGGAAAGTAATAAAGCGATATTTTATGTTTTAGCTGGTAGGGGTGGTCGTAAGTTGGATGAAGTCAGAGAAAAATACCAGAAAGCATGTAGGAAACTTCATCTAACACACAATGAATATGTACTGCTACTGGGTGCTGTAACAGAATGTGAGCATGATTTAAGAACTTGCTACTTGCCGAGTTTGCTTCATCGGCAACAAGCTATTCACCAAGAATTTATAACTTCGTGGTAAGTTATATTCTATTATGAATAATCTTAATATAATATCCAACTAAGATACTAGCAAAACTTTATTCCTTCTATTATTCTAAATTAAGTTCTTAATATTATTTCTGATTTTTCTATTTGCACGCTACTAGAATGGAAGAGGTAAAATATATTATTGCAGAAATTAACCATTGTTCTCACTTGTGATGTCAATTACGTAATTAATATGTACTTTACAATTTCCCAGGAAAGGAATACTTCAGGATATTGTAAAATATTCAGATTTTACAACAGAAAAGTTCCTGGAAATCCATGTGCGAATGCAAAAGGCGGTCGATAGCGTCAAGCCTATCGAAGAGTATAGAGATTTTATTGGAAAACACAGGTATATATTTAACGTTATATGTTTGCTCATATATATACACACACACACACTAATTTATATACATTTATCTAAATGTCACGAGTCTTGATGTTAATGTAGAACTAGGCCAGCGTCTCCAATCAGATTCACGTTTGATGAGAACCTTGTAGATGACACTTCAGGAAAATTATCGCCAAACAAGTTGACTGTGGATAATTTGACTATAGATTGGTTGAGAAGTCGTCTGACAGAACTTGAAACTTCTCTTAAGACCACGCAACAAAATCGACAGAGTCCGCAATTTCTGCAAGAAAACAACAGCGATTCTAAGTATGAATTTTTTTTTTTATTAATATAGCAAATATTCTGTTAATATCGGTGATCAGGTTTTTATTCTATTTATCAGCCAATTTGTTATTGTCGAATTTCTTGTTTTATTTAATTATAAATGTGCCTCCAACCTTTTTGTATGTTGCCACCAGAATTTTAATCTTGGACTACACGCATGAAAGAGAAGAGTTGAGATTACGTTGCCAAGAAAAGAAATTACAAAGACAAGTGGATGTTATAAGGGGTGCTCTCAATGAGTTAGGCTGTGAAGAGTTACCTTCAGGTTGTGATCTTTCCATGGAAGGTTCTTTCACTGACTCACCTACAATTAGTAAAGTAAGTAAAAATCTAGGCATATTTTTCTTATTCTATTTTAACAAAATGATAAAAATTTGTTAATATAGGAAATTAGTGGTATACTGTGTGGGGTTATGCCTTTGTATTGCAATTTTTAATGTTAATATTTGTATAAGAGTGATCACAAAGAGAGAGAGAAAGAGAAAGGTTACTATTCTAATTAGATCTTGGCATTCACAAAAAATCCTTTCGCGATTTGTAATAAACTAATATTGTATGTAAATGTAAGAATGTTTTTGTATTCAGTTAGTTTTTTTTACTGAACACTAGATCCCCTAGAATTACAAGTTGGTTAGATCTCTAGTGGTATTACAGAGAAACACAATCCCAGACAGTGGTCTGTTTACGCTAAGAAGAAACCAACGATTCATGACAATATTTAAGTCGCCTTTCAAATCTTTGCCGGCAATTCATGATTCGAAAAACGGAGTGATTAGGGCAAATAGCGAAGGATCTACAGTCAAAGCAGACAATGTTCCCCCTGTTGTATGTGTTACAAATTTTATCTGTGTGGTGTCTTTTCTGAGTGCTCATGTGTGGTTCCTGTGATTAGTTGTAAAATGATAAGATTACAAATAATTGATACTTTTTGTATCAAGAATGTCTAATATAGTATAAACTTCACACACAATAGCACACATTTATCTCAGCTTCTGTTCCATTGTGTTTGTACCTTGATACTGCCACACAGATTTAGACAGTATCTTCCTCATAGATTTATTTTTATCATTACAAAGGATGACGCAAGGCTCACAAATAATTCTCTCGTTATCATGTTTTCATGTACTGTATGAAGTTATAGTTTTATATGATTTATTATGATTTAAAGAAAATGTTGCATGTTTAATGAATATGCATATTATTTAATATAACACTTATATGTTGAATTAAGAATCTCATTAGTGTTGTATAAGCATGAAGAGAATTTTATGCATGCAAATGAATGTTTTTCACTGATTTTCAGTGACGTAATAGGCTTTTATTTTATACAGGAATGTATTTCGAGCACTGTGGCGCTGGTTGAGATTGCATACATTTTGACAATCTTAAGAAATTGAATTCATTTTGTAGGTACCACTACGCGGAATCTCTCACTTAACTAATAACCAAAAGAGCAATGGCAATGGTGGGCTTATGGAGGAGGAGTGGTTTCACGGAGTGTTACCGAGAGAGGAAGTCGTGAGATTACTTGTCAATGAAGGGGACTTTTTGGTGCGCGAAACGACGAGGAACGACGAATGTCAAATAGTTTTATCCGTTTGTTGGGATGGACACAAGCATTTTATTGTACAAACTACGCCAGAGGTAAAAATGAAAGCTTGTATAACTTCGAAATTATATATGAAGTTAACTTGATTTTTTCAATTATAATTTCTATTATATATAATTATATATTCTATATATAATTATATATAATTATATATTCTGTATATATTATATATATATATATATATATATATATATATATATATATATATATATATATATATCTCTATAATTATATATAATTATATATAATTATATATTCTGTATATAATTATATATAATTATATATTCTGTATATAATTATATATAATTATATATTCTGTATATAATTATATATAATTATATATTCTGTATATAATTATATATAATTATATATTCTGTATATAATTATATATAATTATATATTCTGTATATAATTATATATAATTATATATTCTGTATATAATTATATATAATTATATATTCTGTATATAATTATATATAATTATATATTCTGTATATAATTATATATAATTATATATTCTGTATATAATTATATATAATTATATATTCTGTATATAATTATATATAATTATATATTCTGTATATAATTATATATAATTATATATTCTGTATATAATTATATATAATTATATATTCTGTATATAATTATATATAATTATATATTCTATATATAATTATATATAGTATATAATTTTTACATTTTTTAATATTATATGGAAAAGAAATTTTTGTGATAACAGTTTTGATAGCACATATAATCTCCTTGAGAAACGAATTATATTAAAGTGTGCTATTGTAGGGACATTATAGATTCGAAGGACCGACATTCCCATCCATTCAAGAGCTAATCAGACATCAATGGTTATCCGGCCTACCGGTGACTAGTCGATCCGGTGCTATTCTTAAGACGCCAATTTTGCGCGAGCGCTGGGAGCTTAATAATGATGATGTCATCCTTTTGGAGAAAATAGGTCGAGTGAGTATTCTGATACTTTCCGTCCCAACGTTTTATATGAAATGCTATAACGACGCGGACGATTTTACGTGCAGGGAAATTTCGGGGATGTGTATAAAGCGCAACTGAAGACCTGCAAGACCGAGGTGGCCGTGAAAACTTGCAAAGTCACGTTACCAGATGAGCAGAAACGCAAGTTTTTGCAAGAGGGGAGAATACTGAAGCAATACGATCACCCGAACATAGTCAAACTTATTGGTATATGCGTTCAGAAACAGCCGATCATGATAGTGATGGAGTTAGTACCCGGTAAGACGGTAATTTCATCGCAAGAACGATGTCGTGCCACGCTAATATGTAGTGGTAACACGAATAGTTCTTGTGTCGTAGCGAGAAGACGTTGAAATTTATGAAAGCTAATCGCTAACTGTAGGTGGCTCATTGCTCACATATTTGCGAAAAAATGCCGGCACGATAACGCAGCGGGAACAATTGCGTATGTGCAAGGATGCCGCGGCTGGTATGCGCTACTTGGAATCTAAATATTGCATTCATAGGGACTTAGCGGCTCGCAATTGTCTCGTAGGTAAATAACTTTTACCACACCTCGTGTGAGAATTTATCAACGAGATATCGGTAAAGACCGTCAGTCCTGTACAAATTTTTGTGACCGTAAAAAGTGTACAGAGGAATTGAAGAAGGATAATGTTATAGACTATTTTTAGTCATCCGATATAAATATCTGAGTATTTAGAATATAATAAGTATGAATTTTGTATATAAATTTATGATTATCTCAATGTCTTATCGATATATATGCAGACCTATATTAAAGTACATGAGATATTTTTGTGCAACGGCATTTTTACAGTTATTATTTAAGTTGATTTGACACAAAATTTATCGATATGAGGTTCAAACAGCGAAATTTTTCGTATAACGCTATAATACGCTAAATTCCGTAAGGCTGACGGTGTCTATTCTTCGATGACTTGGCTAGTTCTGGCTGGAGTTGTGGGTAACATTGAAAATATATAATATTTCTACAGGATACGAGTGTATAGTCAAAATTTCCGACTTCGGTATGTCAAGAGAGGAGGAAGAATACATAGTTTCAGACGGCATGAAACAAATTCCCATCAAATGGACCGCACCGGAGGCGCTAAATTTCGGTAAATTACAAACATCTCAATAGCTCGTTAATGTAAAATCGTTCGTATTAATTAGCAGAGCGTTTCAATCTGTTACAGGTAAATACACATCGCTCTGCGACGTATGGAGTTACGGAATCTTGATATGGGAGATATTTTCTAAAGGCGGCAATCCGTACAGTGGTATGTCGAATTCACAGGCGCGCGAGAAGATAGATGCAGGTAAGAGAGAGAACAATGAAGACTGAATAAATGATCACGGGTCAATATTCCTATATTTTAATATGTTGATATCTATCCATTAATATCTATGAGTAGAGTTGTGTGATTCATGAAATTGTGTAATTCTTTTTAAAAATCGCGATAACTCAGATAGCGCCACACAATATTTACAAAATATTTTAGAAATATAGATATTAAATGTTTTATAAATATTCAAATGTCCGAGATTTTCAGGTATAAAAAGGATTATAAGTATCTAAAAATATTTTTTATAAATACTTTTATAAAAAATAATCATTTTTTATAAATACTTTTATGAAAAAGATTATAATTTATGAAAGATTTATGATAAATATTTTTAAATATTTATCATAATCTTTTTCATACCTAAAAATCTCGGACATTAGAATATTTATAAATTATTTAATATATTTCTAAAATATTTTGTAAATATATTGTGTGTTGTCTGGGAAATGTGATATGTCGTATCACAATTTTGTATTGTAAATATGATTTTGAATAGCAACGTTTAAGGGCATTCTAGTGTGACGAGTAAAAAAATCGATTTTTTATTTTTTGCATATTTTTATAGTTTAGAGTCTTTAAAATATATCCCTAAAATATTAAAATGAAATTCGCTAAATTATTGAATAAAGGTTTAAAAGACGCAGCCTCTATACGGCGTGCCGCTGAGATTCCCGGACGGATCACTTGCACGTCAAGTAGTGTTATTCTACGCCGCTAGATAGCGCCATATATATATGTATAGCTTGAGAATCATATATCTAATACTACTATATATTGCTAATCGCCCTATGTTGCCTGTAAGAGGAGCTTGTCCCAGAATGACAGACTAGGTTTGTCGAGTTACTTGTGCTATTCACACTTTTACACCTAATGCCCGTTGCACACTAGTGCACCTCATACAACACAAATTTTCCAAAATACGTTCTGAAGATGCTTTTAGGACGAAGGGATGTCATTAGAATATTTTTAGAACGTCCTTTGAAGATGTGAGTTGTCTGAAAATAGCTAATATCCAATAAGTTTATTTGCATTAATTGAACTTTTTACACTTTCACACTTAGTGCACATTAATTCTTTAGAGGTTCTAAAAATGACGTCATGAGTTCCGTTCGTGTTACGAGTGTAATTGCAATTTTGATACACTTTTTACACTTGATCCCAAGCAAGAGTGAAGTATATCAGAATTGCATTTACACTCGTAACACAAACGGAAAACATGACGCCATTTTTAGAACCTCTAAAGAATTAATGTGCACTAAGTGTGAAAGTATAAAAAATTCAATTAATGTGAATAAACTTATTGGATATTAGCTATTTTCAGACAATTCACACTTTCAAAGAACGTCCTAAGAATATTCTGATGACGTCCCTCCGTTCTGAAAACGTCTTCAGAATGTATTTTTGAAAATTTGTGTTGTTTGAAGTACACTAGTGTGCAACGGGTATTAGGTGTAAAAGTGTGAAAAGTACAAGCAACTCGAACAAACCTATGTCCGAGAAGTATATTTTGACCGTAGTGCGCAGGCGCGGCGATCAGATTATATATATGTATATATATATATATATATAGACACACACAACACACAGGGTGTTTCACTTTAAGTGATATAGTCGATTATTTCGCGAATCGATGATTTTATTGAAAAATTTTTCGAACGAAAGTTTCATGACTTGAAGGGAAACATATGATGAAAATATGAACTTGATCTTGAGTGATCTTGTCAAAATCAGGTCAAGGTCATTAATGTTTTTTTAAACGGAAATCCCTATTTTTTATTACATATTCTTGTAGCTTATCGTGAGAGCTTTCCAAAACACTATAATAAAGTTACGTTTCATTGAGTACTTTCCGAGTTATGGAGCTTGAAAGTTACAGTACCGCCGGCGTTATCCATATACGCATGCGCGTGTGAGCGAGATAAAAAAATATATATTTTTCTCATTTATTAGTATTCACTTATCAACTTATTATTAAGAAAAACGAAGCAAAGATGGTTCCAAATTCGGAGATTCAGCTTATGTTTAAAAATCAGCCGACTTAGCTTTTGGTTCAGACTTACTAGACAAAGACAGAGCGCTGTTCGAGACCTACAAGCATGCTCTCTCTCATCCCGCAACATTCAAGAAGTAGCGCGCGTTCTAGGTAGTATATATTTCAGTGCGCAGCCCTGTGATCTCCCGGTGAAATTTTATTCAAAGTTTCTGTTACAAACAGTCACTGCTCTCGAGCTCTGAACGAAATAGACATGAATTTTTGGAGTAAACATGGATAGGAAAGGTAAACGAGGTAGTCTGACGCGTCCGGGAAGAGCGAAAAAAAGAAAATTTTGCGGAAATCGGCATACCATCGAAGCTGAGACTAGTTATGTCAGTACATCGGCAGAAAAATTAAGAAAGACTGGAGACAACGAGCTTCGTATTAGCAGAGAACATGGCTATAGTGTTCTCAACTTCTTTTCAGTTTTTTCTGCCATTAGTGCACTTGTTATGTGTAAACAATGTAAAAAAGACATAATGTTTAAAGAAGCAAGTCCTCGTGGATTGGGGTTCAAAATAGCAGTAGAATGCAGTTGTGGTGTAACGTATATAAACTCATGTCCTTTAATTGACAACGCTTTTGAAATAAACCGAAGAATAGTTCTCGCCATGCGACTCATAGGCGTCGGAATGAAGGGACTCAATTTATTTTGCGGTATTATGGATATTTGTCAAGGACTCGCTATAAATACTTATTATGCATGTCTTCAAAATATCTATTGTGCGAGCGAAACAGTGTATGACATCGTGACGAGGAGAGCAATCGAGGAAGAGCGGGAAAAGAACGTTGAACACGGTAATCTACCATCGGAATTGACTGTATCTGGAGATGGCACGTGGAAGAAAAGAGGCTTCAGTTCTCTGTTTGGCGTCTCCACGCTCGTTGGCGTATACAGCAACAAAGTAATTGATACACTTGTCAAATCAAGCTTTTGCCAAACATGCAATTTATGGAAAAACAAGTTTGGCACTGTGGAATATGAAGATTGGAAACATTCCCATCAAGATGAATGCACAAACAACCATGAAGGATCTGCTGACAAAATGGAAGTAAATGCGGTGAAAGAAATGTTCTTACGATCAATGGATAAGTATCAAGTAAAATATAAGAGATATGTAGGAGATGGAGACAGTAAAACGTTTAAATCTATTTCGGAGACTATGATATATGGTGAAAATTTTATCGTTGAAACAAAAGAATACGTGGAGCATGTTAAAAAACGGATGGGTGCGAGATTACGCAATACTAAGGAAAAAAACAAAGATATTGGTGGAGAAGGAGCAGGAAAATTGACAGACAAGATTATCAGTGAATTAAGTACATACTACGGCTTGGCAATACGAAGAAATCCGGAGTCAGTGGAAGAGATGAAAAATGCTATATGGGCTACATTTGATCACGAAAGATCGACCGACGAGAACCCACATCATGAACGTTGCCCTGAAGGCTTCACGAGCTGGTGCGCGTGGCGTAAAGCGGAGGCTGCAGGAACACTGAATACTTTCACACACGACAAGATACCGCTGAATGACGAAGTGTTAAATGTCATCCGACCTATTTACGAAGATTTAACTACCGATGATTTATTACAACGATGCCTCGGATCATTTACTCAGCATAATAACGAAAGTTTAAATTCGTTAATTTGGACAATTGTACCAAAACATCTGCACTGTGGAAAAAAGACGGTGGAAGTTGCAACTTTTTTGGCTGTTTGCCTGTTTAATGAAGGATTTCATACCATTTTAAAAATAATGGACGTAATGGGATTGCAAATTGGCCAAAATGCAAAATTCCTCGCGGATAACAGGGACAACGAGCGCGTTAAATGTTTGGAGCAGCGAACGTCGTACGAGTCGAAAGAAGCAAGAATCGCTAAGAGACAAAAAAAAGCTGGCCAACATGAGTTCTTTGAAGTTGAGGAAAGTCTCTTGTATGGCCCTGGTATAACTGATGAAGGGTAAGTTACTAAAATTATTCATTATCCACTTCATAAATGCATGAGAATCTTTAAACGCGTTTTTCTTGAAACGATATTTTTCAAATCGGGCGTGTATTTTTCTTGGAAACTACTGGGCCGATCAACTTGCAATTTTACATACATAGTGCATACATAGTGCACATATTAGATTATCGCTCGAAGTAGAATCTTTTTAATAACTTTAAAATTACTATTTTTCTGGACCGTGAAAAGTTAGAATTTTTTAATAAAAATCAGACTACTATTTTTTAAGTGCTGCCATTTTGTCAATTTTTCTTCAAACTACTTAATTCTAGTTCGGGCGATAGCTATATTCATAAAGAACGATATAAAAACAAATTCGTTTATTTCAGATGACGAAGACGGCGGCAATCAACGCGCCCGATGGAAAACAATTTTACAGTGTGATCTGTTTTGTCCAATTTTATTTTTTCCAATTTTGAATAAAAAGCTTTAACAAAATTTGAGATGTTTCTTCAAGGATGGATAAATATCAGTACAAAACATTAACTCTGTAGTTTTAATCATTTGCTTAAAATTAATTCCCCAAAATCGCCTTAAAAACGGGTCTTTACACTAGAATACCTCCTTAAATAAACATTAAACGTATTAAAAATAAATAATTCTACTCTCCTCATACTAGATCATATACAATATAAATATTCTCTCAAATGTTTATTATAAGAAAACACATAGAGCTGCTGGTCAGTAACTTATGTTCAACCTTCTTTTATTGCATTAAAAACTTTTGATGAGCTATCGCAAGCAGCGATAGCTGATCATGCCGACATAAACAAAAATTCTAACAACACAGAAACAGAAAAGTTTTTGCTATGTAGCATGTGTAATGTGGCATCATGGGAATTTTCTAATAAGATTCGGAATATGTTTTCAGAAAAAGTAGATAATGATAATACTTTTCAAAACGAAAAATATCGTTTTTTTATTGCATGTCAAACTAAGCTTGCTACTAGTACAATATAATAAGATTGTACAGAATATTTTACTATAAAATATATTAAATATTATATTAATTATAATAATTAATATAATATTTCTTAAAATATATTAAATTATAGAAAATAAAAATGAAACTATGAAAATATACATATATAAAAAATATTGTGTATATATATAAAAACACAAAAATATGAGAAATTAGCATACATATCCTCCTTATCTTGCCATAAATAAAGATTTTAGTATGTATGTATATAATAATTTTATTTTTTTAGTTCTATATTAAATATTTCTACAAAATTTCCACAAATAAATTAATGGATTATAAATTAAGGAATAAATTTTGAAGAGATTAAAGCATGTATGTATATATACAATGTTAAAAATTTTTAATAATATGAGCTACATTTGCGTCGGAACTGTGTACTTATATTAGCATTTAAATTATACGAAGGAAAATTAATTTTTGTTTCACTATTTCTATGTATGTATAAACATTTAATGAATAGTAATATTTTCTTGCAAATACTTTTTTTAGTGACATGTGATTTTGAATTGCAGATGCGATTTTGCGATAAAGGTTCAATTGTGTATCGCATTGCGATTCAAGAAAATTGCAATACCTGCGATATCGCAAAAAATCGCATATTGCAATATATGAGTATATTTTAATGTAATATTTGAATTATGAGCAGTTAAAATTTTACATGTGTGTTTACATCAGAATTGTTGTTTAGAAATAACATGTGTATTTCTTCTTATCTATTGAAAAAGTTACTCGTTATCATTATTCATTAATCACTGAAAAAAATAACTGATTATCGTTATTAAAGAAATAAGAAATAATAATACAATTTCCATTATTTTTTTACCAAATTTTGAAGGTCTATTTGTTTTTATGCATTTTGAAAAATGTAATTGCATTACTGTGTTATTGTTACTAATGAAAAAAGTAGTGTTATTAAATTGTTATTGAAGAAAAATAATTTATATAGATAAAAATAAGAGATGTTACTTTTCAATCCTGATTTACATATATAATTATACATATCTCGCTAATTAATTCACATTGTTTCATTAGGATATCGAATGCCCGCCCCGGATGGAACACCCGACGAGATCTATCGTTTAATGCTGCGATGTTGGGAATATGAACCAGAGAAACGACCACATTTTGATCAGATAGACACCGTAGTTGAGACACTGTCTCAAGCGTATCTGTGAGTACTAGGGTATTTTATGAATACAGACAATAAGCAGTATATCAAGTTGGTGCTACCATTTCCTGATATTAAGTTCTCTGATCGTTATTTTATATATTTACATACTACCAAAACCTCACACGACAGTCTGCAAGATCTGGAACTCTAAATGTATGTAATGTATAAAATTATCACAAATTAAATCATATATTTTAGTGGTTTGTTAGATATACGTACAACTCGTTTGCACATCTTTTGTAAATTTCTTTGTCAATTATATGACAGAAGTCGAATGACAGTATACGATGTAAATAGTGGCCATTATGTTCTAACTTAACAGATAAAAGTATACATACGTAAGTAACATACGTAAATTTTTTCTGAATCTTCCGTTGCAGTTATGATGTTAGATGTCTCGTATACTATCATTTGTCAACCAATTACTGTGCAAGCTCGTGGATAATGCGTTCCTAACTTCATTGGAAAAAGCGCGCGGAAAAATTTGTTGCACAAAGAGTGTATTCTTGCTTTTAATACCGTTTCTTGCTTTAATAGCGTTTAGCTTTTTTTATGTAATTCGGAATGCAGCCGATAACAATAGTCCAACGAGAGAAATTAATTTCCGAGAATGAGTGAAAAAACAAATTCTCCTATTGGAGAATAAAGTATTCAAACTGTATTAAAACCCCAAGTGTATATATATACACCTTTGAAAAGTGTGTGTGTACACACACACACATATATATATATATATTTATATGTGCTTAAAAGCACATGCTACAAAAGCATATATACTTATTAATTACCATTGTGTTATACAACTACGTCAATTATGAATGCCATGTATGGATTATGTTTTATATTTGCGCACAGTGTTATAAATTATTATATTTTCCTCCGTCCACATATGTATTAATTCATTATGTTACAGCAAGTCATGCTATTGTATTATTGTGCTAGTATTTTTGTGCACACACACACATACACACACACATGTATGTATGTATGTATATATGAAAAATAGAGGGTCAGGATCATGCATTCGTCTTTATCAGTGTATGTTGTATACTCGGAGATAGAAAAAGGTTGTTTTAACCACTTTTCTCAATATATTTCGCAATGCATTTTACCTTAAACTTGTTTTTTTTAGTTGTACTATTGCTGTATTGAAATTTCATTTCTTTTCTCTTCTCATCAATTGATTATATACTTAATTCATTCTAAGAGAACGAAGTGCTCTAGTTTAGATAAAAAAAGCAACTTTATAAGAATAATGACCTTTATTCACAGGTTACACAGTCATCAATTAGAACAGTGGGCAAAGTGATGTATACAAGGTGCCAAATAAATAAGAATGACAGAAGAAATATAAGCAGAATTTCTTTGCTGTTTTATATAAGAGAAAATACGGCAATATGTGTACAGGAATATTTAGAGAGCAGAATAATTCGTCTCAGGACACAAGCAACACATTACATATATTATAATACCGTTCTTGTAGATATTATATAGCAATTATAAATAGAGCAATATTAAATTGTGAATTGTATCAAATTATACAAGCTATAACTTAAATTCGAATTTTTATTGTCAGAAACTTTTCTAACAACTTTCATAAGATTTTATATATTATATGTTCTCTTTCTAATCTTATTGTAAATAATCCTTTATACATGCAGTTATGTTTCTTAAATCAGCAATTTATTTAAAAATCGCTCGAGAGTTTATCTACTTTTATAATCTGTACTCCATGAGAAAATATATGATGTAATTCACTATTTTATATTTCTAAAATGACACGTATATGTTAAATATTTATAGATTTTTGCATAATTCAATTTAAACCACACAAAATATTGCTTTGTTGTATCATTTATTTTTTATGTAAGATTAATTTCTGTAAAAATTTACCTACGCGTTAACATTAATATATTTGTATGATATAATTAATAACATTGGCTGTTATCATTAATGTAAAGTAAATATATATTTTTAATGATCAATAGGTTTTTTAGTCATCGTAAATATTTATTTATAAACAAATTTTTTCTTTAAATATTCTTGTATATTTTGTCATATTTTTTCTCTTATATAAAATGGAGGATAAAATCTATTTATGTTTCTTTTACCACTCTTTATTTGTAATTTTGTATATATCACTTTGCCTTCTGTCATAATGAATGACTATGCAAGGTTTGTAAACAAAGACTTATTCTTACAAGATGAAATGCATTCCAACTGGAAAAAGTGAAACAACCTTTCTGTCCGCGAGTGTACCATACCTAATCGCGTGAATTGTCACTGAGTGATTAGATAACTTTAATGATTTTATTATTTGTAAAGTATTAGTCACAACATTTTCTCATTAGGATTTTTGTTTTCAAAATTATTTATGGAATTTGATCTCTTAAGAGATTTTCCATAAAGAGGTATAAAGAGTGCCTCGCATATATTTTTACCACTATGCATATATTTTTTAGTGTTATATATTATTATATATTATATATTATTTTTCATAGTATATTAACATATAAGCTTTATTTATTTAGTTTTTGCATCGTCTGTGTTCTAAGTAATATTATATTGTAATGAGTGATATATATATATATATATATATATATATTGAATTTTACAATCATGTATTATTGTCCGATATTAATTGTATAATTATTGTAAATTTATCGTATTTCATACGGAAATCAAAAATGCAGTTAGGTAATCCAGATTTTGTACATAAAATACGCGTTTGTGATTTTATGAATTTTGTAATTTGCTATACTTATTCATGTATATATTAACAACAATATATTCCCGTTAATATATTACATCTTGACCAATCGTGTTACTACATACTCGATCAGTTAGATGTTTAAAAAGCAATTGTATAAATTAAATTCCGTTTATTAAAGTTAAATTTTGCATAAATTAAATTCCGTTTAGTAAAGATAATGCATATTGCTAATAATTAAACTTGATGTATTGATATAATATTAAGTACGTCTAGATCTTTTTCTTATGTACATGATAAAAGAATTGGAAGAAATCGATTTTAAAAAATGAACAATTCATTAATACTAAGCTGACTTGTAACATGGAATCACATTGCAAAGAAATATGCGGAAATGTTACAATAAAAAGGCTATGTTAATCTTTAATCTCTGTATATTGTATTCATATGTAAACACGTACACTATATATTATTATGTAAACATTAAAGTGAGAAACGAACTATAAATAAGAATCTCGTGGTATAGTATTTTAATGTATAAGACCTTTTCTATAATGATAATTTTGTTATTCATTATATTGTTATGCAATATATGAACGAGGTGTGTAAATGAAATGTAAATGCGTATCGTTTGTACTGTAAATGTATAAAATTTATATATTGCAACATTTTTGACACTCTCCTTTACACTTTTAGTAACACGAAGTTTTTGTAGTTCAGGCTCCTGGATACTTGCGACGGTCATTTTAATTGACGTTGATTGATGTTCGGAGTATTTTAGAGCTATGTTTAATTGATTAAACATTGTTCAACATTAAACATGTTATATTTTGGATATCTTTTTATTTCGGTATACTTTATGCAGGAATTTTGACCATGTATTTCCTTACTTTTGACGTCATCAATCAAGAATCCCGTGGCAGATATTTAAGAGCCTTAAAATTAAGTAGCATTAGTTTTCGTACATTTTTGTTTTAATGACACCTATGTTTATACATTGCACGTAATTACAAACAGTTTTTATGGATAAATAATATAAGAATCTACAAGTAACCAATGATGAATTTTAAAGAAATTCAATCTTACATTGTGGCATATAATTACCTATATATAGATGAGTTTATTAATTGTTATCGCATAGAATATGTGCAATAAAAGAAAAAGAGAAAATACTTAACTTTATCTTGTTTTTTATATAAATACTCAATGTATACAAGACATTAATAAAAATTGTATATTAATTATACAAAAATATAAGATATTTTCTTGATATCATAAGATATCATCTATCATTTTCTTCTCCTAAATTTCTTGTCTTCTTAAGGTAATTTGCTTTCGCAGGCAAAGAGGCAAGTAACTCTTAATCACTCTTGAAATTACAAGTACAATTTGATAAGTTCGTCACTAACAGCTGAAGGTGTTAGAATTCCTAAGTCAGTGAATAACAGGTTGATATATTGGGGTGGAGTATAATCTACCAAGGGATGTTCTTTTTTTAAATCTTTATTTAAGGTACTAGATGTGTACTGGAACAAAAAATGACATTATATATATATATATATATATAAAATCTTGAATACTAGGAAACTATATCTATTAGAAAAATAATATATATCTTTCAATTTACCTTAAACTGGTCAGGTAAATCCACCTGATTCAAAGGATAAATTCTTGCAAATTTGAAGCTCTCCGTCAGAACATAAAATGGTTTCTTCATCTCTCTCGCGCATATAGCCATTGTGTATGTGCCTATCTACATAGAAGTCAGAAAAGATGTTTAGATTATTTCTAGATAGGAATCTCCGCGTTGTTGTTAAATTTTTGTGTACCTTATTGATTACACCACCGCTCTCTGCAACACCTTCTGCTCCAACCATCACCATATCCACCTTTTCCATCACATATCCCACTGCAGAATCCAAAATTACTGTACAAGATATTCCTAGTTTTGCTAAGTTTTGACACATTTCTTCTCTATTTGAAATAAATAAAGCACAGATTAGAATTCGTGATCAGTTGCAATGATATAGAATATCATAAGTTATTTATATGTATACTTTCATTAAATAAAGTGAATTTATACCCGCTATTATCAGGTGACGATGACGTCACATATACTTCAAATATCTTGTTGCTCACGGCAGCTTCCTTCATTGCTTGCAGCACTACTCTTGATTTCGAATGTGTGAGTATAACCTGACATAAATGATAATAAGTAGAAAATTGATATAATTAAAATGCTTAATATCTTCTATATATACATATGTATACATATATCGAGTTTGACATAACACATACATCTGCTTATGTTTACATACAACTCATCAAACTGAACAAGAAAGTCTTATACAGTTGTCTTATACAAACAACCACAATATTTGAGTTATGAATTATAGAAAAATGGGAACAAGTGAGTATGATACGATGAGATGAAAAGTCTTATCCAAGATCGAATCTATTGACAATTTCACAGCAACTACAGGTAGTGTGTAATGCTATGTACTGAATTGTATGTCTTCACTATTCAGGATCACACACTGCCCATCGTTACTAAGTGATTGCTAATAGATTCAGATATTTTGGATGAGACTTAAAGAGCTCACTCCATTGCATCATACTTACATTTGCCAATATCTCAAAAAATCATTGTCACAGTTTGCAAAATAATACTGGACTTTTTCATTAAATTTGATTATGTAGCAGAAATAAAAAAAAATACCTAAGACATACTTCTAAGGAATTTTTAAGAAATCTTATTTTTAGAAGTTTTACTACTTGAATTCTACTTGTACACAAGTGGATGTACAAGTTACATCAGACATCCCATGTGTGTGTCCATACAGAGTGTGTATGTACATATATACACATATATGTTACTTTTATACATTTTTTTATCTTACCGAACCATCAGTAATAAATTGAGCTGCAGCTTTGGCTATTTTTCCTCGTGCAGCAATGAGTTTTTCATAAAATACTTTGCCTCTGCCTAACATAATACGTTTGCACACTGCAAATGACTGAAACATAATATTAATGTTATTTAAGTGTAAAAAAGAACCAAATCTCAGTAGATAAATTTACTTGTGACAATCTAAATAATTTAATACTAATAATTTAAAAAATAATTTAATGTTAATAATTTTTAAATAAATAATTTAATATCAATATTGTTACAGGTGTGTCTAATGTTGCTAATGTGATGAAACGAAGGAACAATTCACTTCCAGAGGCAATTGAAGTAATAGGATTTTCTGTAGAACATATTGTGTCGATTGCATCTTGTAAGCAAATTCGAAGTTCCTGCACTGTTTCTGCTGCAATAACAATAAAAATATATGTAACAGAAAGTTCTGTGCTAATTAGTTTTTAAGATACTCACATTTGGAATGTTCCAGAACTTTTAATAAAGTACGAATAGCAGCTACACCTGCCGATACATCCGTTTCATTTCTAATAATACTGTTAAAATATTGACAAATTTCTGAAAAAATTTTTTGAGAACACTTACTTCATTATTTATAAAAACAATAAAATACAGGCGACATCAATATGTACCTTCTTTTTCCATTATTACAGTTTATTATTTCTGTTCTTAGTAGTTAATTCTTGATTATTAATTGTTTTGTTTTTGGTAATTTATGGTAATTATTGTTCTGATAAAGGCTGCGTTCCGTTATTTACTGTAAGTACTGTCAATGCTATCAACAATGTTCCTAAACAAGGTTACAGTACACTGCGAAAGCACTTCGACGCAGCAGTGCTGGGAGTTCGCGATATTTTCTAGATGACATGCGCATGCGTGAAATGACGTACAGCTCGACGTAAGCAGTTTCCAATGACGGCGTTAAGGCCATCACACACAAAATTCCGTAAGAACTTAAATCGTAAGGATGCCGTCCCATTGAGCACGGATCGGAACGCCGGATCGGATTTCTTACTATAATGAGCGTTCCGTCCTCTAGTTCCGTTCCGTAAAAGTTTCCTCTACCAGTCCCATGTAGCAAAAACGGAACGGAATGGCGCGTCGGTCGCAAATAAATATGATTAATTCGTCAATATTTCGTTATTTTGACGCGACAGAATTAATTATATACATAATTTATGCAATTATCTTGCCGATAACATTGTCATGAATATTCTGAAATATTTAATTGAAGAGTGAAATATAATATAATTATATAATATATATTTTATAACTAGAAATCCGTTCCGTTTTTGCTACATGCGACTGGTAGAGGAAACTTTTACGGAACGGAACTAGAGAACGGAACGCTCATTATAGTAAGAAATCCGATCCGGCGTTCCGATCCGTGCTCAATGGGACGGCACCCT